GATGGACACAAAAATGTGGGTAACAACGTAGGCTCGTTTGACACAAAAATGTCCGTAACAAAGTGGCGTGTTTTTCCTTGCACAGGCTCGATGAGCGGAGGGGGCGAAGGAGGCGGTGATAGCGGTGAGGGCAGTGCGCGCGGTGAAAGCGGTGCGGGTGGCAGACGCTTGGGCATGCATAGGAGACCGTAAAACTTCTTTTCAGGAAGGTAGGGGTAGAGGGGGCAGGTGGGATGTGGAGGTAGGTGGTGTGAGGGCGGTGACAGCGCGGTGAGAGCGCGGTGAGGGCGGTGAGGGCGGCGGGTGTTTGGGCATGCGTTGGAGGCCTTAAAAACTTAATTTCAAGAAAGTAGGGGTAGAGAGTAAGGGGGATGTGGAGGTAGGTGGGGGTAGCGGGTAGGGACTAAAGGGTACGGGGTGCGGAGGTAAGACTAAGGGTTAGATGAAAGCGGATCGGGCAAGGAGAGCTGCGAGAGTGGGGAAGGCAGTAGGGGTGCGGTCTGGGCGGTGCTATGGACGCAATTGAGTTTTCACTGACGCCGCCCCGCAGGGGGTTGGCGGATTTCATTGGGTGTTAATGAGCGTGCGCTCGCAAGCGCAAGAAGTAGATGAAAGGTAAACGTATGGTCTTCATCTTGGCAATCATAACGTCTTTGAGCTAGTGCCAATACTACTGAATCTAGCGACCATAAGGTAGATACTGAAATCTTTGAATGGGCGAGAGCGATTTGGCTTGCCGAAGTTCTGTTAACAATGATATGACTGGGCTAGTAGTTACAATATATGTAAGCCCGATGTAATGTTGATTCCTGTTCCGTGCGGGTAATAATCTTCTGGAAGCGCTCCCGCAAGGGCACCGCCTGGGTTGATAGGTTTTTTGATGTGGGGTTGTGGGCGCTACTTGGTTATGCTGATGCAATGGGGGGTTAGGAGCGGTTTGTTGCTATTTGGTGATGCTGATGCAGGCTCAGTCAGGTTTGGGTTTTAGGGTGCGCGCAGTGGGGGGATTCGGGGGTGGGGTTGGGGGTGTTTGTGGGGGCGGGGTGTGTGTTTGGGTGTTTGGGTGTTTGGGTGTTTGGGTGTTTGGGTGTTTGGGTGTTTGGGTGTTTGGGTGTTTGGGTGTTTGGGTGTTTGGGTGTTTGGGTGTTTGGGTGTTTGGGTGTTTGGGTGTTTGGGTGTTTGGGTGTTTGGGTGTTTGGGTGTTTGGGGGGGGGGGGGGGGAGGAGGGCACCCTAAGCCTCCGGGTCAGCTTGGGGTTCAGCTGGGATGAAAAGAGTGCAGCCCTCGCCGGTCCCTGAGGAGCGAGTGGAGAAGCTCGTGCCTTGGCCTGTCTGGGCCGGCACAAAGCTGGAGGGGTTTATGGCCTGGAAGTTTGACTGGGACTCTTTCAGGGGTGTGTTGTTGTCTCAGATTTCCTTGTTTTCGTCCTCCCAATTCCGGTACAATCTGAGACCCGGAGCCCTAAACCTCAAACGCAAACCCCAAAACCCTATGAATGACCCGGAGACACATATTTACGCATAAAGTGTGGCGATCGATGCCGCTACTAGTGCGACCAGGGTGGTGCGCCAGGAGCCACGCATTGTCTGGCACTCCTACCAAGGGAGCTGCCAAAACCTCGAAGTTCTTTCGGTTTGCGGTCTCTCAGGAAGCTATGGACCCCGCCTCGGCCCCCTCCCTGACCCCAAGCCCCTAAGCCCGAGTGCTCAGGCCAGTGATTTGGATGAGCCCTCGTTGCCAGATTCAGCTGCCGTCGACCGTGTGGAAAATCGAGTGACATGTCCCCTCCGATGTCCACCGCTCATGGTTATTCCTTTTCCTGCTGTGCCAGTGTTATTTTTTGTTTGGTGATCTCATTCGCTCAATTGCAGTTGCTGTTCATTTGTTTCGAAGATGTTTTTTCGGTATTCCTGGACGGCACATGACGTGGAGTTCTTGCTCTAAGAAAGCATGACGGGCTCTCCCGGCTTGACGTGGATGAACCATTTCCCCACCTCACAGACCCCGCGCAGTCGATGTTACTTCTCCACAGCCATGTCACGCAAACTGAGTTCGCAACACGGGTCCACGGGTCTCTTGTGGCGCCACAGTCGCAGTTTCTATCCTGAAGAAGGCACTCGCCGAATCGTCGAGCCGCTAGGGGTGCAGACATCGGGGTCGAAGCTTGCGTGTTCCGTGTCCGAAACTCTGGGACATGTTATGTCACGGAGGTAGCTTGCGTCGTACAGGGTGTAACACGCCACGTGTGCAAAACCCATTCTTGTCCCATGCCGCTGGCCCAAATAGTCCTCATTGTGTGCCAGTGCAAGTGCTTGCACATTCCCGGCGTGCACAAGTCCCAAGCTTGCATGGAACTGCATGTTTTGTTGCTTGGTCCAAGCTGGAGCACACGTTTGAATCGGAGCAGAGAGGATCAGATCAGGGAAGCAGAAGAGCCCATCCCCCTGTGTCAGGAGTGACGTGATACTGAACGTGTTGGTTTTCAGCGGATCCAAAGTTATGGAACTGCTACAACACCCATGTCTGTGTAGCTCGTGCAGCCGCTGTTGCAGCAAGCCGCTGGGAGCCACGAGCGCCCACCTCAGTCAGACCTTTGCCGGGCCAAGGGGCATTGGCGATGTCGGGAGAGACGGGCCTTCAACCCCAAAACCCAAGACACGGCGCCCTAGCAAGGGTTTACGTTCGAAGGTGGAGGGCTTGAAGGTTCAAAGTTGGGGATGCCATACAGTAGTTCTCATGAGGTTGCAGCCGTTGTCTGTCGATGTTTTGACCCGTCGTCTACTGTAGGAACCAGCTTCTAGTATACTTCTATTCAAAAACCCTCAATAAATCATAAACCCTGAAGCTGTTTCGGGTCTGAGCATTCACGTGTTGAGCTTGGGCCCTGTCCGTCGACGTTGATGTGGGAGGTTTGTCTTCTAGGCTGCCAGGTCCAGTCTTCAGGAGGAATGGCCTGAAAGGCTTCACTTCAGCTTACGCCTGACCCTAAGCCCCGAAGCCCTAAGCCCTGTGACCCGAAGTTCCCTTCCCTACGCTGACCCTGGAACCCCTCCATGCTGCGCCTGGCTCAGGATTCCCATGCAGGTTTGCTGCCAAGCACCTGGGGGGTCGAGGGTTTTAGGGTTCCAGGGTTGAGGGTTTTCGGGTTTGGGGTTTTAGGGTTTTGGGGCTTAGGATTATGGACCGTGGACAGAGGCTTGTTGAAGGCTCGCGGGCTCGCATCTTGCAACCTCTTTTGAACCACATCCGAACCCCAAGGCCTAAACCCTGGACGGCCCGTGTCCCAACTTTAAGGATGAGGGCTTCGGGATAAGGACTGTTTACCCATTCCTCACCAGCAGCCCTCAAGAAGCCTAGGGCACCCAGAAGGCTGAGTAGATGTCTTTCCTTGCGTTTGGGGGTCAGGACCTCTGTTGTGCTAGATTGGGCAAACAGGGGTACCTAGATTTCTCCCTTCGGGCTTCGGACCATCGGCGTTGCGTCCATGTTAGGTCACATTGTGACGGTGGAGCAGCACGCAAGCCACGTCCTTTCGTCACGCTTGGGCCTGGCTCCCAGAAGCTGTGTTTCTCACCACCTCCGTTTAGGGTTGTTGAAGCCTCAGCAGCCAGCAGCACCCCAGTTGGCATTGAGCCTTTCGTCAATGGTCTGTCAGGAGACGATGGGCAGATCTGGCCAGTTCCTGGCACTGGCTTCAGCCCAAGTCCTGGTTGAGGCCTCGGCGCAACTCAGTCATGGGAGCTGGCATGAAGGTTTTAGGCCACAACCCAGAATTTTGACCCGGCACAAAAAGGCCCTTCAGGCGGACCTCGTTCAGGGGCCCGGGCATCGCCCCTTGGCTGCAGGTGAGATGTGCAGAGAACGGGCGAAGCGCGGAAAGCAGCATGCTGCCCGCTTTGTGCGTCATCTAAGGTCACGTTTTTGTGGTGGTGCCTGGCTTGAATTATCACGGAGCCAGCACGTTCCAACACTGTTGACACGGTCTGTTTTAAGCGGATAATGCAAAACATCAACTTCCGGCAACATGTCGAAAAGGTCGGGGCGACGCCATCGGACCTGCCACAGCCTTGTCCGTATTTATGCGCATTTGGGAACAGCGTGGCCGTCAGTTCTTTTTGGGCATGTGAATGGCCAGGCCATGGCTGCGGGCGCAGCGGGAGCAGTTCGGCATCAGATATGTGCCGGTGTGTGCTGCTGAGATTTTAGGTGCCCGGCACGTGGGGATGTTTACGATGTTTGCTTTTCTTGTATCCTTGGTTTCTGCTCCAAGTGAGGATGGTGCAGCCGCATCCGATCTGGGCACCGCAGCTTCGCGATATGGCGCAGGACCAGCCCTGCCAGATCTAGCGAAGTTGTGTGCTTGAGGTGTTTCCCCATGTTGGTGTGATTCCCAGGAGATGGACGGCGTGTTCTACCCCAATGTCGCCGCTTGCCAGCATTTGAAGTGCACCTTTCCGTTGTCTGCTTCCGTTGCACCTTTCAGAGTATGGGGAGACCTTTGCCTGGTGCCGGAGTGTTGCTGTCAGGCCTGGACTGCAGATGGTCTGAAGAAGAGGCCGAGGGAATGATAGAATCAAGCCCCGGAGTAGGCTTTTACACACTTGATTTTGCGGATGAACCCCCGAAACAACTCATGAAATAGGAAACGAGCGCATGACGTTGGGGAGGTTTCTCTCCATCCCAAACGCGCGCCCTGAGAGGCTCAATGTGGCCTCTAATCCGCTCTACGAGACGGGGTTGGACAGCATCTTCCCAGTTCGGGGACTGCATGATTCGCTTGGGACTCAGATGCTTGGGACTGGGGGAGCACTGCTTGGAGCACATGGAAGCGATGTCTGGTCACCACCAGCCGATGAACTTACAGCTGTGGTGCGGGGTAGCATGTGTGACTGTAACGCCTGTCTGTTCTATTGAGATCGTGTGCCATCTTCTGCATATAGAGCGATTTAACTTCTTGTTTGAAGAAAAAATCTGACAATCCATCGATTGGCCACATCGCAATGTCAGAGTTGCGGCAGCCCCAAGGAGGAGTTCAGACCAGCGAAAGGAGCAATGCCGAAGCAGGCCTGAGGCGTTGGATTGTTGGGACCCTGCGAAGGCTGGCAGGAGGGTCGTCAGGGCCGCTCCACGCCAGCTGGCGCTTGTTCCGCCGATCTGTGGCTGGACCTTCGCCTGTGCGACTGGATCCTTTCGGTACGATCGATCTTCTGCATCAGGCACTAAAGGATCTTGCCCTCACCAGGGAGCAGCAGGAGGTCTTCGAGAGGGTGGTGTCTTGCAACGCGCGTTTCTGGCAAATCGCTGTTGATGGTTGCTTGGATGGATCCCCGCCGTGGCGAAGGCACGTTGCCCTGAACCTCGCACTCCTTCGGGTCTACCACCGACACTTGGCGGCGCAGCGAATCGTGGATGAGCTGACTTCGCCATTGCTGGGCTCGCTGAGCTATCCAGAGGCCGTGGAGGCTTTGCGATACTGCCGCTGGGCTCTTGCTGCCTACAGTGGACGTGGCCTACGTGACGGGACGGAAAAGATCCAGTCCGAGGGTACCAGCAAGATGGCAGCGCCCGTGAACGCGAACATGCCGGACGAGGAGGAACGCGTAGTGATGGCCGCCGCCGTGGCCGAGTGCAGCCCCAGTTCGGTTCTCCTTTCCGACCTGGATGATACGGCACAAGCCAGCGATCCTTTGTGCCCCCGATTTCTGCTTGCAGAAGATGTCGAACGTGGCGAGCTGATCATCTCCGTGCGGGGCACGCAGTCACTGTCGGATCTTTTTGCCGATCTCGTGGGCGATGCCGAAGATTTCGCAGGCTTGAAGCCAGAGCATGTTCGTTGCCATTTTGTCACTACGAAGGACCACCATGTGGTATTAAGGAGTTGTGCCCGAAGACATGTGTTTCGGGGTCGGGTGAAGAGAAGTTTAAGTTGTTGCATGGGAAGGCCTTCACAGGCCCAGTTTCATGGCAGGTGTTTTCTCTTGGACTTGAAACGCCTCCCCGCAACGTTGATACTCACGAAGCTGGTTGTGGTTTACACTTCTCTTGGCGGGTCACCAATGGCCCCGAGCACTTTCCGGTGGATATTCGGACAAGTGCGCGCAAACCCGGACCCTCCCCCCCTCTCTGCGATTTCACCATTGCTTCGGTCATCCTTCTCTTTCCTCCAACAGTCAAGTGCCAATTGCGGTCCCCCTCCCCCCCCCCCCCTGACCTCCCCCTCCCTAAGACTTGTACAAACTTGCTTGCCTTGCAGGCGGCAAGGCTCATGCTGGAATTCTACACACGGCTCGCAGACTTCTGGAACGACTGCACCCTCACCTCAAGGAAGGCCAGGCGCCTTCAAGCTTTGACTAAATTCTCTCGTTTTTCGCTTTCTGGGAAACAACAAACGGTGGTTTACTGATTATAAGGGAATCCTATAATTTGGAGGTCAACTCGAGGGATCCCCTATCTTCGTACCCAATAGAGGGATGGGAGAACTGCTGCAGACGGGGAGTCTGAGGCCTCAGCAGACTGGACACCGGCACAGGGACGCGGCTGGTCCTGTGTGGCCACTCCCTGGGCGCAGGGGCTCCTTGGCAGGGAGACTCTCTGGGCGCCTGCAAGGATATTCAATCTAGCAAGAGAAACCTATGCATGGACATGGACCCGTGACTGATGTGACAGGGGCTGACTCTGTGCCGTGCAGCGCCCTCGCTTGTCCCGCGAGAGTCTTTTGGTCTTGCCAGGTTTGCCAGCTCTTGGCTGTTCTCCTCCTCGGCGGCGAGAAATCATCCTGGACTCTGCCGCGCGGCACCGAACTGCGGTGCTTTCTGTTTGCGCCTCCACCGGTTTTCGGCATCGAGCCGCTCGGATTCACCGGCCAGGTTTACATTGTCAATGTTACGTTGGCTCCGAGCTTGTCCCATACCCGCCCCCTCGTCTCACAGGCCTGTGCAGCGAACCAACAGCTTCTCTCGCATCCTGAGCTTCCGGTTTCGCCCGGCGGTGCCTTCTGCCGTGGAGAGGGTCAGGGAGGCCACGCTGGCAGCTCGGCTTGGACCACGAAACCCAAAGTCCTAAATCCTAGGTAGGACCCTGGGACATTCTATATTTTTCCTTATCGGAATCTTTTTGAGAGGGTTAAGGGGCCAACCTAGAGCCCTAAATCCTATGCTCCTTGGGCACGTGCGCGGGAGGCCTTTGCGGTGAACTACGACATCATCCCGAGGACCTCGCTGCACAACGGCTACAAGCTCTTCCAGGAAGCCCGTGTCATCGACGACTTCGTGGTCTGGGGCAAGAGGGAAGTTCTTCGAAAGCTGGGGCAGACAGAGTCTGAGTCACAGGTGGCGGGCCTCAAAGTTGTCAAAGGCGACTTGTCGCCCCGGCTTCTTGAGAAGCCCCCAAGCACCCTAAACCCGAAACCCCCAACATCCCCCAACCCTAAGCCTTGAACCCTTTCGGCCCAAATCCCAAAGGAGGTGCGTTTTTTTAGAAATTTATGTTGTAGTTTTTTTGGATTTATTATTAATTTTTTGGGGTTTAGGGCTTGCTCTATAGTTCAATAGGAAAACCTTGAATTCTCTTATATTTGAAAATGAAAACCTGTTTTTCTCCATAGTTGAATAGGAAAACGGGGTCTTGTGTAGTCCTTTCAACGGTCGCAGGGACAGAAGTAAACTAAAGCACAAGAAGCGCTCAGCCGGAGGACCTTAACCCCTAGCACCCATGATGACCTGGCCCTTTCAAGTGGGATTCATGGAGCCCGTCCATGCAAGCCTGGACCACAGTGGCGTGGCAAGAGCTTCGGGGCCGTGGTGTGGATTGAACGTTGAACATATAGAGAAACAGGTTTCCGATTCTAACATAGAGAGAATACAGGTTCTCTTAGTAAAACATAGAGAAAGTGGAGTTTGCCCGATTAAATTTTCGACAAACGGAGGTTTTCCTCTTAGAATAGAGAGGTTTTCCTATTCAAATATTGAAAAGCACAGTTTTTCCGATTGCAATAAAGAGCAGGCCTTAAACCCGAAAAATATCCTCCCCTTCTCAAAAAATAGATTCCCCAAAATAATTCCACACCCAATCCCTAAGCCCTCAACCCTAACGCCTGGTTCAGGTGGCCGTTGCTTTGGAGCTCCAGGATGCTCTGTGTAAGGGAGCTTCCTCTAGGCCGGCGCCGGGCAATCCCTTCCCAACACAGCATGCGGTGACCTCGCGGCTCTTCCACGTGGTGATGGTGCCAGGCGGCGGAGATGGGTGTTCACAGTGCTTCCCAAAGTCGGGGTACCCCTACCCAAACTTCCCCAACAGCACGATAGTCCTTATTATGGAACCCGCCCTCCCCATCCACAATATACCGCTGTGAATGTCTTGTGAAGCTTTCCAGCGCTGTCTCATGACACGTGGGGGCAGAGACGGGAGGTGGAACCGCTGCTTTCTCTTCCCCAACACTTTCGCTGGCTGAGGAGTCGTGCACTTAAAACCTTGTTTTGTTGGCTCATACCCTCAGGAGGTCTCGGTGGAGCCTTGTGACATGCAGTGGCATTCTCTGAAGTCCGCCCCATTCCACTTGATCCCAGGCCGAGTCCTGCCGTGCAAAGTGATCAAAGTGAGCGAGACACCCGTTTGGTGAACAGCTCTCAAGAGGCAGATCAAGATGCGGCACCAGGCCCGAAGTTACCCACAACCACATATCAGTCATGTAGAGGCCAGAATACCCTGTAAGCCCCAAGCCTCCCCTTGCAGACCCTCCTGCGCCCTGTTCCCTGTTTCCTTTGCAGAGGCCCAAGGGCGTGCGGCCGATGGGTGTTGAAGCGCTCGGACCATCTGCGACAGTGGCGTCGGCGCTTTGCGTGGATTGAGGCGCTGGGAACACCTGGGAATAGGCTGCAAAAAGGCACGTCCGCTTAACTATCCTGACTTCGAAAGGTTCTTGAAAGGTCTTGGAAGGTTTTGGGGGGAGAGAGTGGAGCCACCACTGCGCAGAGGCTGGCGACTTGTGCTTCGCGCTCTCTCCGAAGGACCCTCGTTGAATAGTAGGCGGCCAAAGGGGGGAAGGTAGTCGGGAGAGCGACGGGTGTGCTTTTCATGCTCACACCGCCCATGCGCTTCTTTTCTTCGATGTCTTCTTGTGCAGTTTCCCACATCTGCAGGATCCCCTGCGATCAAGCGTGCCACTGACTGCAGACAGCACGCTGATCATGCTGCTGGGAGACTCGGATCACGGAACCAGCGTGTGCCACTAACAGGGCGGATGTTGCGTAGGCCTTGTTCAGTTGTGGTGCCTGTTCAATTCTTTCTGATGGCCGTAAGGACAACCCAGCAGCCTCCCATTTCCTGCGGGCATGAACGCAACCATGTCCTTCCGGCCTGATGAGCCCGCTTCAGGACGTCCTGGAACTTATTGAGCTTGCATTGGGCATCGATGAACGGTCACAGGTAGAGATACACTGGCTTCCTACTGTAATGAGCCCATGGCAGGAACTACAGCTGAATCCACGGCCACGATCAAAGCGACTCGCGACTTCGCGACACCGTGGGCGTTTCATGTGCAGACCGCGAGCTGCTGGTCAGGCTGCGAGCAACCTACAGCAAGCCTAATCCCTAAACATCCCTAAGCCCGTAAGCCCCTATTCTGTACACCCCCAAACCCCTAAACCCTAAACCCTAGAGGAGATAAACGCTCCTAAAGCCTAAACCCTAAAGTTTGGGAAGGGGTTTCCACAGGCATCGAGCCCCAGCATGGCCGTGGTCACGGAGAAAGCGCAGCCGGCCTGCCGAGCATCCAGAGCTGCGCGGCCGCAGAGGTCTTCCTGTGTACAGAAAGTGCAGCTCGGCCTGCAGAGAGTCGATGTTCGAGGCTGATTCGGCGAAGCAATCGTTCCGCTTTTTGAGATTCGAGACCACTTTCGTGAATGTACGGAGGATATGCGGCATGATCCTTTGGACCCCTAAGTACGCCGCACATACTTGCAGCAAGAGCCTGTGGATGCATGTATGTGAGTATACATAACATGGATGCACATTCATATTCGTAACTCTCTCTTCTCCTTTGGGGACGCGGAAAACAGAGAGCCTGGCAGCTTCCCAGTTACTACTTACCCCAGGCAGCCGAGCGAGACGCTTGGCTCACGGACCTGGCGGCCGCGGTCCGCGAAGCGCGGAGACGCTGCATCCGCTTCTCGTTCGCAAGGGGCTGGGAGACTCTAGACTCCAAATTCTCTGTAAGCCCTCTGAATAGGATGGACCTTGAGATGCAGCCACCGTGTCATCACAAACTGAAGAGGGCTCCCTGAAGCATGCCTGATCCTCATTGGTCTTCAATTCAAAGAGCCCATCAGGTGTGCTGCCGGCAGTGTCTTCCGAAGACTTTGGCCGGGAGGCGTTGCTGGCAGATGGGCTGATGAATGACCACGATGCTGGGCGCTATGAGGTCGCGCTTGAGGCGATGCATTTTTCAGTGGGTCGCGCGTCTTGGGGTTGACCAAGCATGAAAGAATACGCAAACTCTAAACCATCAAATGAACCTCCTGGCTTGGATTGCACCCCCGTCCCCCGTTCCCCTCGCTCCCCCCCGCCTGGGCATCAGGCCCTTATCGACCAGCTGCGCTGCGTGCGTGACGCGGAGAGCCCGACAGAGCAGGAAAATGTGGACAACGGAACTCTGCACCCCAAGACCTGTGGATCTTAGTTCGGAAGAGGGGCGCATGATGACTCTCAGCACTCAGCATGAATGGCAGTGTGCCACAAAGCCCAACCCTGTAGGGGTTGAATTGCTGTGCTTCGCATTGGCGCGCGCTTGTTTCACATCAGAGTTGAGAGGGTTTGTTGCTTCTTGTGGTGAGGTTCCTCAACGTGACCACCGTGGATGTAGCACGGGTCTTCCGTGGAAGCCTCGACCGCGGGAGGTTCTTTGCTAGCTCCTTGTTGCGCTGCGCGGCCCTGGGCCCGAGGCGAGAATATTCGCGAAGACGACAGTGTTGCCCGGTGCTTGGAATACTTTTAGCACGAATTCCGGACAGCCGGAGATCAGCATCATGCCTTGGCTTCCAAGGTCATGCGGATGGATTGTGAGGGTTCCGAGTACGAGCTCCTGAGGCCGTGGAAGATAGCAAGATAGGGTCTAGGGCTTAGGGTTTCGGGTTTAGGACTTAGGGATTGCTTTGGAGTAGGACTGTCTTTCGTGCTGCAGAATCAAAACGGGGCAACTCGGACAGCTGACTCGCTGCACGTGCAAGATCTCTAGGGAACGAGGGCATCAGGTACCCTGTATATTCCAAAAAACATAAATGTGAGGGGACACTCTGCCGCCTCGGCACTGCCCAGGCAAGAGCAAACAACCTCAAGCCCAAAACTGTAAGCTGAATCTATACCGCGCAAACAGAAGCAACAGACATGTTTGCATATGTGTTTAAAACGTACACATCTGTCTGCACATGTCTGCACAGAAGTTCATGTTCTATACATGTACAGTACACTAGGGGAACCTTCTGGGCTTCCTTCATCCGCTCCTGTTTTCACTCCTGGAAGAGATGAGATTTCTTGTAGCCTTCCCCGAGAATTGGCGAAGGGAAGGTCGCTTACTTAGGGTTCTAGGGTTCCATGTAGGATTCTCGCGAGCGGTCACCCTACATCCCTTCTAGAGCTCTTCTGCTCGAAGTATCACTCTGGACAAAGTTCTGGCTGCAGGCACCTGATGCTTTCCGGCTGGCTGTGCAAGCTTCGCCGGCTCTACTTGGAGGCCAGGGGCTTTGGAGAGGATCTTGCTCTCACCGCTCACAACTCGGGCCCTGGGTCCCCTGTGGCGCAAGGCTCATGCGATGACGCGGCCGAAGCTGAACAAGCCCCTCAGCCCGATTGTGCTGTGGGATCATGTGGAGGTTTCGAGAGGAGTTTTGGTTTTGCAGTCCCCGCCTTGCAGGTTTCGGACCTTCGATGTTCTTCTCCCATGGTTGCTGGAGCCGTGTGGAACCGAGGTTCCGGAAATGTCATGCTGTGCTGTGTTCACTCGGGCTTGGATCGCAGGTCTTTGTGGACACTGGCTACCACAGCATTCTGGCTGCATGTCGCTGAAGAACGCTTCCACGGGAGACTTGTAAGACTCAACATGCCAAGATACAGCTGAAAGCCTCGCGCTTTGGCCAAAGCAAGACGGCGTTTGCCGTTGGTGCCCAATGCTGCCCCTTGGCTGCACGATCCGCCGCTTGTCCCTTGCAGCCCCAGTGCGAAAATCCTAAACCCCGAACCCTGAACCACATCAGAAGTAAACCTTGAACCATATTATTCATAAATCCTAAACACCCAGAACCCTGAACCACAGGATTAACAAGCCCTTGCGGTGAGGTATGTTCCGTTCCAAGGGGCCAGTCATCGCCGGCGCGGGCCTCGGGAGTCTTCTAAGCCTAGTTCTCATTACACCCGAAATCCCTAAACTAAGTCTGAGCCGAAGCAGGTTCGCCGGGGCTTTGAGGTACACTGAAAGAAGCAGCTCAGATTTCCCCCCCAGGTATGTCACATGATTTCACCCCGGGAGCTAAATGCAAAAATACCACTGGCAAAAAACTAGTACGGACTTCTCTTTTTCTAAGTAAAGAAGTGTTTAGTACTTTTGTTTTTGTTCTGGAGATTTGGGTTTTAGGATTGAATGTGTGTGTGTGTGGCCAGGTTACCATTTTGGATCTTGCGACATGGACTCAATATTTGGTGGGTTTAAGGCTGGGAGTTTTGGCAGTCACAAGTTATGCTGCAATTTGTGTCTTCCACTGAGAATGGTTATCTGGTGTGATGAGTGTGACGTGTGTGATGTGTCAGATGTGCGATGTATGCGATGCATGTGATGTGTGTGTGATGAAACAACCAATACATCAACGGTTTTAGGGTTTAGGGTTTAGGGTTTCGGGTTTAGGGTTTAGGGTTTCAAGCACAAATTGTTGGCAACAAATCGCTCTTCTTTCCATCTTGGACAATCTAGCACAAACTAGTGGCAATAAATCGTTCTCTTTCCCAACTTTGAAAATCAAGCACAAATTGGTGACAACACATCGTACTTCTTCCCATCTTTGACAATCAAGCACAAACTGGTGGCAACATATCGTACCTCCATCTTTTAAGAATCGAACACAAACTGATGGCAACAAATCGTACTTCTTCCCATCTTTGACAATCAAGCACAAACTGGGGGCAACAAATCGTACTTCTTCCCATCTGTTAAAACTCGAACACCAACTGGCGGCAACAAACCGTGCTTCTTCCCATCTCATAGAAATTCGAGCACAAACTGGTGGCAACAAACCGTACTTCTTCCCACCTCTTAAAAAATGAACAAAGAATGGTGGCAACAAATCGTACTTCTTCGCATCTTTCACAGTCAAGCACAAACTGGTGGCAACAAATCGTACTTCTTCCTATCTTTGACAAAAGCACAAACTGGTGGTATCGTACTTCTTCCCATCTCGTAAAGATCGAACACAAACTGGCGGCAACAAAATGTACTTCTTTCCATCTGCTAAAAGTCGAACACCAATTGGTGGCAACAAATCGTACTTCTTTTCATCTTTGGCAATCAAGCACAAACTGGTGGCAACAAATCGTACTTCTTCCCATCTCTTAGAAATTCGAACACAAAGTGGTGGCAACAAATCGTACTTCTTTCAATCTGTTAAAAATCGAAACCCAAATGGTGGCAACAAATCGTACTTCTTCCCATCTCTTAAAAATCGAACACGAACTGGTGGTAACGAATCGTACTTCTTCCCATCCTCGACAATGAAACACAAACTGGTGGCAACAAATCGCACTTCCTTCCATCTGTTAAATATCGAACACAAACTGGTGGCAACAAAAATGGTACTTCTTCCCATCTCTTCAAATTCCAACACGAACTGGTGGTAACAAATCGTACTTCTTCCCATACTCGGCAATCAAGCACAAACTGGTGGCAACAAATCACACTTTTTCCCATCTTTCAAACATCGAACACGACTGGTGGCAACAAATCGTGCTTTTTCCCATCTTGTAAAAATTCGAACACAAACCGGTGGCAACAAGTCGTATTTCTTCCCATCTTTGACAATCAAGCACGAACTGGTGTGGCCACTCGAATTTCTAAGAGATGGGAAGAAGCACCGTTTGTTGTCGCCTGTTGGTGTTCGAGTTTTATCAGATGGGAAGAAGTACGATTTGTTGCTACCAGTTTGTGCTTGATTGTCAAAGATGCGAAGAAGTACGATTTGTTGCCACCAGTTGTAGTTCGGTTTCTAGCAGATGGGAAGAAGTACGATTTGTTGCCACCAGTTTGTGTTCGAATTTCTAAGAGATGGGAAGAAGTACGATTTGTTGCCATCTGTTAAAAATCGAACACCAATTGGTGGCAACAAAGCGTACTTCTTCCCATCTCTTAAAAAGCGAACATGAACTGGTGGTAACAAATCGTACTTCTTCCCATCCTCGACAATGAAGCACAAACTGGTGGCAACAAATCGCACTTCTTTCCATCTGTTAAAAATCGAACACAAACCGGTGGCAACAAATCGTACTTCTTCCCATCTTTTCAAAATCGAACACGAACTGGTGGTAACAAATCGTACTCCTTCCCATCCTCGACAATGAAGCACAAACTGGTGGCAACAAATCGCACTTCTTTCCATCTGTTAAAAATTGAACAAAAACCGGTGGCAACAAATCGTACTTCTTTCCATCTTTTAGAAATCGAACACAAACTGTTGGCAACAAATTGTACTTCTTTTCGTCTTTGGCAATCAAGCACAAACTGGTGGCGACAAATCGTACTTTTTCCCATCTCTTAGAAATTCGAACACAAACTGGTGGCAACAAATCGTACTTCTTTCCATCTGTTAAAAATTGAACAAAAACCGGTGGCAACAAATCGTACTTCTTTCCATCTTTTAGAAATCGAACACAAACTGTTGGCAACAAATTGTACTTCTTTTCGTCTTTGGCAATCAAGCACAAACTGGTGGCGACAAATCGTACTTTTTCCCATCTCTTAGAAATTCGAAACCGGTGGCAACAAATCGTACTTCTTTCCATCTTTTAGAAATCGAACACAAACTGTTGGCAACAAATTGTACTTCTTTTCGTCTTTGGCAATCAAGCACAAACTGGTGGCGACAAATCGTACTTTTTCCCATCTCTTAGAAATTCGAACACAAACTGGTGGCAACAAATCGTACTTCTTTCTATCTTTGACAGTCACGCACAAACCCCCTAAATGCTCGAGGTCAGGGCTTAATGGTCGGTTGTTGCCATTTCCTGTACATCGAGGGAACCCCTAAACCCTAAACCCTGACCCTAAGCCCAAGCTCCAGACCCCTAAACCCTAAACGCCCCTTAAAAGGAGCCACAAATGGGGGGTTTGTTGCTTGGAGCTCCTCCGAGGTGTCCGGCGGGCTCGATTTGGCCTGCGACCCAGTGGTGTGCGTTGTTATTGTTGTTTGAGCAGACTTTCGTGAATTATATGGGTATTTCCCAAAATAGGAGTACCCCATTAAAACCCAAATAGCATAGAATCCCTGAAAGGGACCCCCAAAAAGGGTACCCCTATTTTCCCCAGTTGGCATCGGCTGCGCTTTGCTGTGGGGCATTTCCCAGGCAGTGTTTCGATGAGACCTACACCTGCGAGCCGGGGAGCCAAGCATAGGAGCACAAGCTGGCGCCCTAACGATGGTTGGGCTTGGGGCTTAGGGTTTGGGGTTCCTACACGGCCGGCAGTCCCGGAGAATAAGATAGGGTTATTGCACAATGCACTTCTAGAAGTGCTACTTCCTGGGTTGCATTGCAATACAACATCCCCAAATAGCCTCAGGGTGCTATTCAAGTCTCTCGCTCTGCACGGGTGGAGCCACAGGCTCTTAAGATGTCTTCTGCTAGACTAGCTGGAGACTTGCTTGATGCCCCTCAGCTGGAGCTTCCTGAATGCAGTCTGAATGCCAAGCATCTATGCAAGCAGTGAGTGAGCCTCGAGGGTTACTGCCCCCCACTGCAGGCGCTGTTGCAACGCCCAGCGCTTCGGTGCTATGGGGGACGAGAAGTGCTGGCGCCGAGGGAGGCCCGGTTCGCCCTGGAGACCCTACTATTTGCCCTTCAAAGCCCCTGTTTTTTTGGCGCTTCCGCGAGCCCTGTGAGAGGCCCGTCGCAGAAGCCGGGGCCTTAGCATGTGAGAGGAGCCGTCGGAGATGTTGCGGCCGGTGAGTTGTTGATGGCCATCCTGTGCGGCTCCCTTGCGCGCACTCGGTCAGGGAAGGCCGTTGAAGAGCGGTGGCATCGGATATTCCCTGCCTGATGCTCCGGACTCAGTAAAGAGCAAGGCAGTTTATTCCCCCGGTATATGCAGGCTGAAGGTCAGGCATGACGTGCGCTGCTCTGAAAGGACGTCCTCCAACGTATCTTGGAGTCCAAATTCCAAACCAAAGGCGCATTTGCCGAGTTCAGAGAAAAAGAGCGAGCAGGAGAGAGGAGAGCAGGCAGGAAGGAAGGACGGAAGGAAGAGACATGACGAGATCGAGTTTCGCCCTTCATGTGGGAAGCTGTGCCAGGTGGCGGCGAAGCCATTCTTAGACTGGTTGGTCCGGAGGCACCAGAACTGATTCGAACTCCCCTGATAGGAGGCTCATGAGACTCAGTGCTGCTGCTTTGCGCCTTGGAGATGTTCGTTTTTTGCCTCCACGTTTTTACAGGCGCGGCCGGAGCCAAGTCCGGCCATCTTCTCTTATGAGATGTGCTGTGCAAGCATGGTGCTGCCCCCAAGCTCCGTGTCCTGTGGTGCTGACGGTGTAAGTAACGGCGTAGAGTCGCAGAGCGCCAGAAGTGGAGCAATCTCCTCAGCGAGGTCGGAGAGCTGGTGCCTGGCCTTGCGCCCTTTTTCCACAGCCAGTCCTCGGGCGAATACTACAGCCCGTGCCACAGTCTTGAACACAAAGCCAGGAAAGATCGGTGCGTAGAAAACACACCAGAAAATTGCCTTCGGGTAGGATCCGACGCGGTGGACAAGAAGCCGCACGCAGCTTTGCCACCTTGGAAGGCCTGGGTTTCGGGTTTAGGGTTTAGGGCTTAGGGTTTCGGGTATAGGGTTAAGGGTATAGGGTTTAGGGTTTAGGGTATAGGGTGGAGGATTGAAGGTTTGCGGGGAGTCGAAGCTGGCTGTCGGTGGATGATTGAGAGGAGAGGGTCGAAGCGCGGTTATCGGTGTTTGCTTTTGTTCAGATGCCGCAGACGCCGTTGCAAATAGATCTCTCAGCTTTGACTTCCAAGTCCTACAAGCTCCTAAACTCTAGCTAGAACTCTATAAGGCCCTGAACTGCAGAGCTGTGACGCGGCTTCTTCCCTGCCCCAGGCCAAGGCTGCCAAAGAAGCGGCGACCAAGGATGCGAATCAAACTGTGGCGAAACCAGAGACGGCGAGCAGCGCTGGCCTCACCATTTCGTCAGTGCTTCATCATGTCACTTGGCTCCCCTCCAAAGATGTCTTTTGCCCAAGCTGGAATCCTGTTGTAGCAAGGAAATCCCTGCCCAAAATGAGAAGGGACACTTCCTGTTCTTCTAGGTCTCTGCGCCAACTTTGCGGGGCTTTACCAGGTGTGCTACCCGAGTCAGTGGAGATCGAATTCGGGATCGACGTCTCATGTGTTTCAATGGAACCTGTTGCTCAGGACAGCGGCGGTGGGGTCGTGCAGGCACTCATTGGCGGGCCACAAATATTCGTCTTGTGCCTGCTTTGTAGTGCTGCATGGTGAGGTGTCTCAGCTGGGCTGCACCATCCACGCAGAGACCCGGTCTTACTTTTTCCTTAGTCCGTGACCTCGATGGAGGCAGTCACAGCAGTGGTTTGTGATATCCAGGAATGCCGCACAGCGGTGGTCTGCAGATGCCAGGGCGGATGGTGTTCAGGTGCGTTCTGGAACCGTTTGCTTCTGGTGGCTGTAGCTGGCAGAGCAAGGTTTGCCTCCGAGTCTCATGGCACAGCGAAGGTGTTTCTTTGGGAGCATACTGGAGCGCTCAAAGACGGGTTCATATCTTGGTCGAACCAAGCTGTTTGGGCCAGAACCTTAAGTACGTGCAGTGCCGACATGCCTCTTGTGTTTGTGTGTGTGTGTGTGTGCGGCAGAGGGGTGTAGAAGCAGTTTTTTGAGGTCCTCTTGCATGCTGAAGATCCGGCTGCAAGGACAATGACAAACGGAGCAAAAGGGCACCGTCCTTCTGCCAAGAGAGAGAGAGAGAGAGAGTGTGTGTGTGTCACGTTGTACAGCAAAGCCTTCGGAGGAGTGTAGCTTGAGGAGTGTAGCTTGAAGGTGGCATGCAGGTGCTCCAACTCTCTGTTGCTGCTGCTATTTTCATAGCGCCAAGAAGGACGATACATGTAGAGAAGCTTTGCTTTGTTTTCTAATTTTTCTACCGCCCTGTCTTTGACAGCGGGTCATTGCGGGCCTTTCGTCCTCGGGCTCCAGGTGTAGCTGCACGTCGAAAAAAAGTCACCAAGGCATCTTACATGGCGGTTGTCTAAGTATGAGGCGTTTCCAGGGTGCGATCTCAGAGAAGTCCCAGCCAGAGAAGTCTTGTACGTTGGGTCAGCTCGGAATCTCGGCAGAGCTCAGCCATGTTGTCCGCAACTTGGCCGCAAGAAGCCTCCGTGCCACCTGGGCGTCTATGGCTTGTATCCCTGGTGGCCATCAACCCTGAGCCCTAAACCCCAAGCCATAAACCCTGGGAATCCCCCCAAAAAAGGTGCTACTCGCAAGTGCCCTGGGACATGTTGGCGTTTTCCTTATTGGGTTTAAGAGGATCATATCTATGAATCAGGGATTGTCGGAGCCAACCTAGGGTGCCTACGCAGGGGACCCCCTTTGCGAACAGCAGGTCTTCGAGTTCTTCGGCCTGAGCGACAAAGGCTGTGCCCAGCTCAGAAGGGGTGTATCCCCCCGAAATGGGGGTTTCCGGATTTAGGGGGTACCTTATTGGGGTCCTTATAATATGTAAGGGGATCAGGGGATCCTACTATTTGAGGGTCTATATTAGGGTCCCTTCTTATCGTAAACCCCCAAATCCCCCTCCAAAACCCAAAAAGCGTCAAAGCCCTAAGCCCTCAACTCCAGACCCTCTGCCTCCGAGTGCCTTCAAATCCAGCGGTCAGGTGCAACTCATGAAAGGCTCATGACCCATGTGCGTTCCTGCAATCAGCTCACCCGGTCGTCTTTTCAACGACGCTGGGGCTCCCCCACCACAACCGAAAGCTCGAGAACCCCCGAAGCCGCGACTCTGAAAAACCTTGGACCCAAAGAAGTGACTTTCAGGATTTCGGAAGATATGACAGCTTCGGGTCTTAGGAGGCTTTCGGGCTTTAGGGTGGGAACCCTAAACCCTATGAACCCACTAGGTCCGAAAAGCAGACGACTATGACAGACGATAGACCCCTACATCGACCCTGTGGGTTTTGCGGTAGGCACCTGTCCTGCGGGCACCTATCCCCGAAGTGATAGACGGGTACCTCTCCGACTCCTACTCGACTTCCTGTCCGAGGCTGCGGCAACCCAGGGAACATTTCTGGGGGAGAGGGGGTCCTTGTGGTGGACACCGTCGCGGCGGAAGCCGAAGAGGATGGGCTGTCAGGGGTCCAGGCATGGATTTTTCCTGCCACGAAGACTAAGCCCTAAACCCGAAACCCTGACCCTAAACCCTCAATCCTAAGCCCCTTTTTCAGGGTTCTATGGCCCGTTTTATGGTTCAGGGTTTGGGGGTGCGCGGCTTTGTGAGTCTCGTCCCCCCATGAGAATCTTTGGCCTCCTCAAGCCCTGCAGGGCCCCCGAAGCTCCTTCAAACGCTTGCAGCGCCGAGCCGTCAAAGTTGTGAGTTCGGTATGGATCTCCTTGCAGAACATATGAGATATATACACGCATCATATATAAAATACGTTGTATTACAGAACACATACCTCTAGCATATTTTATATCGTATGTGTAGTCTGTAGAAGTAATATTCAATATTTGAGACCAAAAGTCCAAATTTTGATAGTAACCATATACATGTATTGAATTATTGTGGCATATTAGAATATGTTTTGCTTTGGCATGAAGAAATGTAAAATACACAAACGACTAAAAAAAAAGTAGTCTGGCCTTTTTGACACCAGGAGGTCAAGACACTGCCGTCTTCCAAAGCACTGGAAGATGGCACTGGGAAGACCCCAACGACCACCTGCTCCTCGTCAGAAAGTGTGATCTCTGGGATTTTTCCCTTCAATCGTGCTAGTTCTTCCTTGCCTTTGCGCCATTGCGAGGTGGGCTCAGTTTTGGAGATCCCTCCCCATCCAGCTGGGGGGCGTCGCCAACCTCTCCGGGCACAGAGGACTGGGTGCATGACAGGATGCAGGCCCATCGGCCCAGTGCGCAGGAAAAGCGGATGTTCGAATGAAGTTGTGGAGATGCAGAGGACTTTTGCTTGTCCAAGACCGGATCCGCGCTCACTGAAGGCCGGGAGCCGACACTTCCCCACCCCGACATGCAAACGACCTCGGACCGCTTCCTCTAGAGTGTTCCATGTTTCGCCGGCCCTCACCAATCAGCACCAGACCCTGACCAGAGCACTCAACCAACCAACAAAAGCATGCTGAAGTCCTTTGTTTTGTGAGAAGAAGCCAGGGGACCTGACCCATGTACCCTCGGCACGGTCCAGCCCGCAGTAGGCCTGCTTCCCGCTGCTCTCGCCAACAGGTGGTTCGGTGTCTGGCGACTTCGAGGCCTTCGCCCCTAGCTGCTTTGACGCTGTCTCTGGTCGTTTCATGGAACAAACCACGGTTCCCAGGTTCTTCCAGCGTAGGCTCATGTAGGTCCCGAGATGGTTCATGGAAGTTGTTGCTTCAGCCAAGCAACTGACACTAAGACCACGAAGATTTCCTGCAAAAAGTCGTGTCAACATTTCAGCAGCTTGTGGCCATGGCATGGGATTGGGCAACAGGAGATGTTGCTTCGAAGCCTTTGGCAGCTGTTGCCATGGCATGGGGGGGGATCATCAGCAGCATTCCCTTTAAAGCAGGCCCTGCAGCTTCCCGAGCTACCCGACAAGGCCTGCCGTGGGCTGTTCTACATTGTAGTGAAGCTGCTCCATCTCCTGCATCTCTCTCACGACTGATTGAGCATGGCCACGACCACAAGGTTTCTTGGGCTCGTATTGCAAAGCGTGAATTCCTGCCAGGCTCCGCTAGAGGAGGATCAGATTGTACCGTGCCTAGTGCCGCGGAGCCACATGCTGTGTCATGAAGCTTGCAGGTGCAACTACTGCAGGTTTGACTCGTCATGTGATTTGCTGATTCGGTTATTCGGTTCCTGTCCTCAGGTCGTTTCTGGCCTGAAGGCACGCATGCAAAAGGCGCCGGTGCCCGGGGAAGCGGTGTTGAGGTCCTGTGATGTTTCGTCTTTCTCAAAACTGCCAGGCCAGAGAAAACCTCGCGGCCCTGCGAGAGCGAGTGCAGGCCACCAAAAACCCTAAACCCTAAACCCTAAACCCTAAACCCTAAACCCTAAACCCTAAACCCTAAACCCTAAACCCTAAACCCTAAACCCTAAACCCTAAACCATGAACTCGACTGCGCACGGAGCAAGGTGGAGATCCTCCAAGGCCGCGCTCCACAGAGCCCTGAGGAAGCGCGCGAACTTGGGTTTTACTCCACCTCCACGCTGATGCGCGACTTGGGCTCAACTTATCCCTGCCCCAGCAGCCTGAACAGTTTTCTTGACTCCTGTCGCCAAGTTTTGGGGTTTCATGCGGGTATCTTGCGTAATCGGGGACATGCTAGAATCCTGATGCCCTTTTGTTTTCGCAGGGACCCTCTCAGTGTGCGTGTAAGAATGAAGGTTACCTGTGCATGCAAGACGGTGACGTCAACAAGGCGCGCACTCATGGGGAGTGAGGGAGAGGGCCCCGGCGATGTCTGTTCTGCTCAGGCGCTGAAGGCGATGAAGGACACCATGGAGTGGCGGAAGAGGATGTTCCACTCGGCACTCTTTCCTCAGGCTTTGGGGTCTCAGAGCCACCGCAAGCCTGGTCATTTCTGCTTGACGCTGCCAGGGCTCCTCCATGCCTTGCTGTCGGGCTTGCATGAGAGATCCACTGTGCCCTGATGGCATTCTTCAAGTGGATGCACGTTTGTGGGTAGATCAAGGCTGCTGCATGAATCTCTTCCGCACGATGAGCCAAGGTCCCACTGCTTCCTCTGCGTGGGTAAAGATGTTCTCGGTCGACATGCTGCTCGACTGCAGCTGGAGGGATGTGTTCTGATCTATGAGTTATGAGGGCTTGATCCTCGGCGAAGGATCAGACATGATGCCGAGTGGGTTTGACTGGGTCGACTTTTGCAAGTGCTTGCACCACCCCTCTCACGAACCTGTCTTGCGAACGTTAGCAAGATTTCGTTGCCTTCGTATATTCTTCGTCGGTTGGGGTCCCAATCGAGACTAGTATATTCGGCATTGTATCAGTAGACTCGGGAGCTACACATCTCTAGTTAGTCCCCTGGCAAAGCTTGTCAGATGCCATAATATGCCATACTCGGCTGTCATGTGGGTTGTCGGCTATCTCTGGCTGAGAGCGCTGGCAGAGTTCCACAAGGGACCGGTGCCCATCAGGGTTTTGGGGGTCTCGGTTTTAGGGAGTTTAGGGTTTGGGGTGAGATCTGTAGCCCCGCCATGTGGTGCCTTGAGACCTGGGTGTGGTTTGCTGCGGTGTTGTTTTTAAATGAGCTCCCGGGAGCCTGGTGCGATGTTATAGATTGGGTCCAGAAGTTGGAAGGGTTTGTCTCAGACAAGTTGGTGGTGAAAGAAGATCATCATGGCGGGCGTGGCGTTTTTGTCAGAGGCCACGTGGCGGAGAATGAAACCTTGCTCTCTGTGCCTCTCGAGGCGATGCTGTTGGGGGAGAGAGCTGCGAATGCCACACCGTGTGCAGACAGGATACGCGCTTTCTTCGAGAGCATGGGTCAACCGGATGGAGGGCGATCACATGCCGTGTTCAGCATCATGGTCCTGCTGCTGTCACTCTTTGAAGAGACGCAGGACCGATCAAGACAGTGGCCACATCTGGATGACCTACTTGGCCATTGGAACAAGCAAGAGCAGCAGCGGTTCCCTCTGCTTTGGCCAAAGTGGGCACTTCGGGAGATTGAGGGGACGACGGCGTCACTGGTGTTTTCCATCGCTGCAGGAGGTGTTGAGCGCGAGTATAGAGAGGTTCTGCAGCAGACCTGCCCGGAGCTTGCAAGGAAGTTCCCGGTGCAGACGTACAAGAAGGTCTGGGCCCTCGTGAACTCAAGAGTCCTGACATATCCGGGCAGCCGCTTTGCGAAGCCCCAGGCTGCCCTGATCCCTGTGTTTGATCTGGTCAACCACCACCTCCCTGTGCCCGACACACCCTTGCTCTCCTTGCCGGAGATCCAAAGCCACCAGGCCAAGTCACTCGGCCGCTTTGGAACGGAGCCGCAGATGGCGCGGATGCCTGGCGGCCTGCACCTCTGGTTGCGCAGGCCGGTAGATGGTGGAGACAGGGCGGTTGAGGTGACAGATGTCTATGGCCTACAGAGCAACGAAGAGATGCTTTGGACATCAGGCTTCACGGTCCCATGGATTCACAACTTGACATGTCTGACGCGATCGCGGCTTAGCCTGAAGCCACAGGAGCTGCCCTACGCCTCGCTAAGCCGACCAGGCTTCGGACAGCAATCGACCTGGTTGGGAAGCCTCCAACCTTTCCTCAACTTCAACCTGGGAGGCTGCTCTGCAACGAGGGCCTCGGCGGGGGAGTGGCTCAGGCCGGTCGTGGCCTTCATGAAGGCCTGGATCGCGGCAACTGAGGCTTCGTCGCCCCTGGACCTGAAGGAGACCTGCAGAGTAACCGTCCCACGGCAGCTGAGGCCTGTCTTGCAGCCCTTCGCAAGCTGGGACGATGGGTTGGAGGATGGCTGGTCCCTGGGTCCTTGCAAGTACTTGAGGCTGGACGGCGAGCGCTTGGTACTCGATTTTCTCCTTGGGGTGTTGGACGAGAAGCTCTCTCAGATGTTTGGTGATTCTCTACGTGAGGATGAGAGGGTGCTGCAAACGAAACGTGGGCTTTGGCGAGATGTGGCCACCCTCCGTCGAGATGAAAAAGCCCTTCTGCAAGAACTGACTGCCTGGCTCGCTCGGGAAAGGAGGCGCCGATGGAGCCCGGATAGGGGGCTGGAGGGGAAGGATTCTCGATAAAATTGTACCCCAACTCCCCGGGCCCTACTGCAAATCGGATTGAGGGCCAGTTCAGGGGTGACGGACAAGTTCAGCTATTCTTTTCATAAAGGGGGGGGGGACCCATCTCCCCTGAAGAGGCAGCTGGGTCGGAAGCAGCCGGAAGCAGCTGAGTTGTGAGCTGCGGCCCCGCAGGGCAAGCTCCTGGAAGTGCTCCTGGGACATCGGAGCTCCACTTCCGGTCGCAAGAAGCTGCGAGATGAGAAAAAAGATGACAGAAGGGCGTGCCCTTGCAGCGCAGGACCTGTGACAAGCCACACGGACCTCAGTAGGAACAAGCCTCCCATTAAACCCTAAACCCTAAAACCCTAAACCCTAAACCCTAAAACCCTAAACCCTAAACCCTAAACCCTAAACCCTGCTTCTTGATGACCCCCCTTTTGCCAAGGTAATCTATTCCTGCACAGGGCGTGCCGGCAACAAGACGCCCGAGGATGGCATCGAGCACATGGCCAGTGAGATGGAGAGGCTGCTGAGTTCTGCTAGGTAGGCCCTTGGGACATTTCATATTGTTCCCTTTATTGGGTCTAAGAGGATCATATTTAGGAGTGTTTTTAAAGGGGTCTTAGGGACCATCCAAGTAGTGTCGCCGCGTATGGCGAGATCTTTTTTGGCGTGCAGGCTCTTCAGAAACTCAACGATGCCCGGCTCGGTCGTCCCGGCCCTACACATTCTTGAATGAAGGGCATCGCTGATGCCGAGGGGCGCACCCCGGTGTTGCAAACAACTTGGGAATACTTGGGATGTTCCCTCTTTTTCTAAGAGTGCTGAATAGGGGGTCTAGTAGGGGGTACTCTAATCTCTTTTAAGGACTGTTAGTATCAGGGGGAACATCCCAAGAAACAACCCTCGAGGCCTGGATCGTGGATTTTGCAGGCTTCGGATTTGCGGACTGCAATCCGAAGATTGGCGCGCGGGCCCCCAGCTTTCGTGAGTCTTCATCATCCCCGGCGCAGATCCACGAACCCTAAACCCTAAACCCTAAACCCCAAACCCCAAACCCTAAACCCTAAACACTAAACCCTAAACCCTTGAACTCCCCGAACTCTGCTGAACCGAGGCCCTTGCCTTCCCAATGTTTGCCAGCCACTACCCGGAGAGATTCGGGCAGATCGTGCCAGGGCCCCAGCCACGGCTGCGCCACCCTGGCCTCAAACGGGCGTTTCCCAAAAATAGGGGTAGCCATGGGTGCCTCCTTAAATACCCCAAAGACGGAATCCCCTTGATAAGGAACCCCCTCAAGCAAAGGGCCCCCCCAAGGTCGGGAAACCGCCCGGTTAAACATCTTGAAAGGCTTCGGGGGCTTTGTGGACCAGGTGCCTCAGCCTCCCGTATGCCTTCTATCCGATCTACGCCGCGGGCAACAAGCGGGGTGCCCAAAACCAAGCTGCGTGCCCGGACACCTTCAACCCTAAACCTTGGGTGCTGCTGTCCAGACGCATGTAGCTGGGGAAGCCATACCTCTTAACTTGACCAAGGCTTAGGGTCTTGGCTTTCGATTTTGGGGTTCGGGCTGAGTGTTTGGAGATTTGGGGATTGGGGGAGGGGTTTGGCTGGCGTCCAGTGTGACGGTGGAATAAGGAATAAGATCACTTCTGAAGGTACGGGACGTGTGCTGCAGAACGGGCAGCAGCCCGCCTCCCTCGCCCCTTGCTTCCCAGGATCTTCGACAAGGAGACCATGGCCAAGGTGAAGATCCTGAAGGGGGACAAGGATTGGAAGAGGTATGGTGATGCTTACTGGAGCCTCTTGGCGTGACCTTGAGTCCTTCGGCATTTCTGGGTTCTCAAAAGGATCCAATCCTGTGGTGTGTCGCTTGAAATCCCCCACCGTGGTGAGCCCAGGCCATGACCCGGGGTCGGGATCTCAGTTGCCCTGCCGCAGACATTCGGGGACGTGCGTCAGTTGACTGGTTCAACCGGTTGTCCTTGCGCATCACGGCATGTTGGAGGATGAGGAGGTGGCTGGATGCGGCCGTGAAATGCCGGGAGCCTGACATGCCCTGTGCTGAGCCTGACATGCCCTAACACCCTGAATGGGTCGTCATGGGCAGGCAAAGGAGTGCCCGGTGGCTTCCCCTCTGCAGAGTTCACCCAAGACTTGCAGCCAGGGCCTGAGCATGTGTGCGCTACTTCGAGGTTCATGGTACTTCTTAACCAATTCTAACTGTACTTATAACCCACTGATAAGCCCCTTAAGTGCCCTAACATGGTGATAAGTACGGCAAGAAGTGCAGTTCTAATTGGTTAACAAGTACCATGAACCTCCGAGTATGGCAAGGGCCGTTGGAAGAAGCGCCTTGAAGCAATGCCTTGAGAAGCTCAGGCGGACGGAAGCCACTGAATCTTCAATCAGGTCCACCTGTGGTGTGCAGCTTGCTGTCGATGTTCGTCCGGTCGTCCGAGATTGCCCCAGCAGTTAGCAGAACCCTTGCCCATTTTGGGTAATAATACCATCAGTCAACCTATTAGACGATTATTCCTATACTCCCCCCTACACCTCACCAACTATATCACCACTACTACCCCATTACCAATACCAGTATAGGAATAACCGATTACCTCATCCATATAAGAGGAATATTCCTATACTCCCTACTACAATCCCCCAAGTATCACCACTACTTCCCCATTACCAAGACCAGTCAAGGGTATAAAAACGACCTGACTGTAGTTAGAAGATATTGTAATCTTATTCGTTAAAGTATCATATATAGCAGAATAGGAGTTAGTCCTTCCGCCACTATCAAAGAAGGTGCTTAATTGTGTTTCCATGGCTGAGGCCAGATCAGGAGCAGTGTAATTTCCTACAGGTATCTCAATTCTTCTATATGTTATTCCTTGAGGTGTGGCAGGTGGCAATATCTGATGTCTAAAATATAGGTTTTGATTATTTGTGTTGATTGAATACCATGCATTGGGAATAGCTACCTCGTGCACTTGCATAATGGTGTTGTCGGGTATTTCGAAGGTGTCCTGCAACTCTATTTTAAAATCAGAAGTTGATTTACTGTCAGAAACTCTGTATTGTGAGTTAACATAAACTTTTTTGTATGTTAAAGGTCTGAAACTCATATTAATAACAGATAAAATATTTATATGATTTATTAATATAATGACAAGAGTTCAGTCTCAATTAGACAACATGCTAAAGTCTAACGGGATAATATCCAATACACAAGGCATTAAGATGGCTACGATCGTGATAATAAAATTTTTGTTAAAGATAATAAGATGTATATAGGAGGAACAACGAGTTTCACCAACTGGCTGGAAAATTTTACCAAGTTACCCTTTGGCGTTTTGGGTGGAGTTCGTGATATGGAACGCTACATAGAAGCAGAACGAATATTAAAGGATAACCCACAAATAACAGAATTGGTAGGTCATAGTCAAGCGGGAGTGGTGGCGTTACAATTGGCGAAGGACTTTCCCAATAGGAACTTAAGCACCAAAACTTACAACAGTCCGGTTTTTTCACTTGGCTTTGATCCACCGTCTGAACAACACAAGAGGTTCAGAAAAGCGGGTGACATAGTGTCAGCATTTGATGGGTCAGCGATCAATTACAATACAGATACAATAAACCCAATGAAAAATCATGACATATCTTCTCTAGATAATATAGATGAAACAATTCCGCCCCTATCTCTACCATAATAATATTTCTCATTGTTATTAATATGATGTTCAATAAACCTAAATATATAAAAGAACCACGTAGGGTTGGGAAACCCTCAGAAAGCCTACGGTTTAAGACCAATTTAAACAAGAAACTCAATAATTCTGCTTACGAGAGTATCCGTAATATAATAGAAGAAGGGGACAATGTAGTGTCACAACCACAACTAGAAAAACAAAATATAGATAATTTTAAAAGCCATAAAAAATATAGTATTAAAAAATCTAAATAAAGTATATACTTATGGATTTGGTACTCGCTGAAAGTAATGACAATATGATTAACTCCCTTCAATTTGGTCTCCCAGAGAGCGCGGCATATGTAACTGACAGGAAACAAGTTCACTTTCCTAGTGTATCTGGAAACATCTTTAGTTCATCTAACGGAAACAAATACCTAAAATTTGTAATCACAGGTGAAGATAATAATTATATTGATTTGTCTAGTGTTTGTTTGTTCTTTGATGTTGTAAATACCTCCACTACTGCAGGAGAATATTTACGCCCATTAGGTGAGAGCCATGCCTTCTTCACGAGATACAGATGCAACGCAGCAGGGCAACAGATAAACGACATTGATAACTACAACCAAGTGTGTGAACAAATGAAATCATTCAAAAGCGAAGAGGTTAGAAATTTAGATGACGTTCAGGAAGGTTGTTTAATACGATACGACAGTAGAATTAACCGATTGTTCGCTTATACTATAGAAAGTCACGATGCAACAGCAACAGCAGGATCAAACCAAAGAGGCGCTGTTCTACCGAAACTAACACGACTTAATACTACAGGAATTGAACAGGGTAAGTTCGTAAGAATGGGACACAAGCCCGTTTGTGGATTTGTTCAATCTGGATATTATCCACCAATTCGGTATTGTCCTTTAGAATTTATTTTTGAGATTGTTTCAGATGCAGGTGAACCAGTTATCAGACCAGCAACACCAGTAGCGGGAACACAAGCAGAAGACGATGAAAACGGCTTATATTTTACAACACGCAATACTACCACAAGTTGGTCAATTCAGAACTGCGTCCTAAGATGTGAATTGATACAGGTGGACAATACCGTCAACAATAATATAGTTTCACATTTATTGAAAGGGGGTAGGCTTCGAATGGTTTATCCTGCTTATTATTCATTTTCACAAACCTTCACGGCAGGAAACACAGAGATCAACATGAACATCGTAAAATCTTCAACTCGTTTATCTCAGATGTTCTTCACCTTTAGCAACAGCAATATCAATAATGACAACACAGCAGGTAATTATGACAGAAAGAGATGGAACTACTTTTTCCATCCTATGGCGGTAACCATTGATAATTTAGAAGGCGTAATTGATAGCGATAAACAAATTTCAGCACAAATACAAATAGCCAATAAGAAAATCCCAGAACAAGAAATATCAAGTATCAGTGAATTTATGTATTTCCTTCGCAGAGCAGTAAATGTGATGTCGCCTTATTACGACGGCTTTTCAATTGATATTTATAGATACGCTAACGATAAGTTTATTGGAGGAATAAATTTCGATAAGCAACCCGATATGAATTTCACAGGTTCCAACACGAAAATGGGCTCCTTAATCACTTTTAAAATCAAAGGAGCCAACGCAAATTTCGCACTAGGAATTGAGAGAGTTATTGTGACTGCTGTGAGTGAGCAAATATTCGAGCTCTCCGAAAGTGCATCAACGGTTTTAGACTAAGAAGAGATATCATTATTATTTTAATTAAAATCTAAATTACTTTAATAATGGCTTCAATAAATAATTTAACGGCAGTTTATGCAGATAGATTTTATTTGTCATCTTCAACGGGTGTAAGTGAAATATCAGATACATATGCTACAAAAACCGAATTAGGAGACATCAACACTGCAAACTCTTCAAATATAACAGCCAACGCTGACGCTATTTCAGTATTGAATACAAAGCAACTACAAAACTTTTATGACATCAGTTCTATCTCTCATATTTTGGCGACGACATATCAAACTAATTTGCAAATATCCAGTAGCTACTACAGTAAAGTAGAAATAGATACTACATTTTCTAATGTTATACATCAACACAGATTGACACAAATTTATCTACTAACTTCCAAACCAACACACAACTGGCAACCAATTATTATGATAAGGGCGAGGTAGATACATTAATAGCAGGGGCTGGATCGGGATACACAACCACTGAGGTTGATAATCTACTAGACTTAAGAGTTCCCAAATCAGACTTCACGAATAGATTTAGCGCCAATCCTATTATTGATTGTTCCGCCCCTACAGTTATTCATAGCGGTTTAACATTAAACAACTCAACTATTAATATATCGCCGGTAGCAGGATTACTATTTAGCAATCAGACAGGGGGAGGTGATAAAGTTTTAGCAGAATTTAAGAACGCTACGAGTTATATAACTTTGCAAGGAGATAAGATATTTTGTAATAATACATCAGACGATGCTATTAAGCAACTTGATTTAACTAATAACAACGCAGGTTATAAAATGTCAGGCAAAATAGCAGTGCCAAGCGGTGGGTTAGTAGTAGAAAACACAGCAGATGCTAATTTATCATTTACAGTTAGAAATACTGGTAATTATATTACTTTTAATAATGATAATATTGATTGTTATAATTCAGTTGGTGATACCGGTAGAGTATTGAATTTAAATAATAATGCCGACCAGTATGTTAAAACACATTCATTATTAGTAGATGTATTAGCAGGAACATTAACAGGCGGTTATGGTTTAGATGTGGCGAATAATGCTTTAATCCGTCAAAATTTAAGAGTTAATAACGATATTGAAATATTTGACACTAACTCAATATTAAGTAGATATCCAAATGCTACGAAAGCTAATACATCGTTAGATATTAGAACAGACCAAGAAGCAATGAGATTAGTTTTAGGTGGTGCATCAGATGGTGATACTAATACATATTTGGAATGTAATAATAATACAGGAGGGACAACATTATTTACACAAGCGTATTTTAAAGATACAGTAAATTATGAAAACGCAGATATTAATATTTCTAATACCTCGGGTCTTACCATTTATAAAAACACAACGGATGCCAGTAATGTTTTTAGAGTAAAAAATGCACAAGGATATATAAAATTTAACTCATTCAATATTAACGCATACAACACAAGCAACGACAGTTCTTCATTACTTTTATTAAATACTGCAAATGGTAATGGTGTCTATTGTTTGAGTTTAGGCATCGGAGCAATTCAAGGCGCAAATAAACTAAATGTAAGTGGTGGGAATGCACTTCATCATTTCAAAACACATCGACATTTAATGGTGATATTTATGTCAATAATTCAGGTAGAATATTTCAACGGGCAGACGCTAATAATTCTTTAAATGTAATATCCACAGAAGAAATTCATTTTTCATTACAAGCAAATAGAACAACTGACCCGACAACAGGAACGATATGTCTTCAATTAAATGACACTAACGGAAT